TATATATATATATATATATATATATATATAATATATATATATATATTCAGACCGCGTCACAGACGGGTCAAATCTCTAGAGTCCGGACCCGGGCCGAGCTCGTCAGTCGCCGGCTTCTTCTCAGCGTGGTCAGGTAACAACTTGCAGTCCGCAGCTGGTTCCTACTTCTGCGTGCTCCTGCTCCTGCCCCCGCCCAGCCGAGAGGCGCGGATGGCGTCTGCCGCCTCTGGGACCTGCGCGCCAACCGCCGCGCCAGCGTCCAGGCGGCCGTGGCCGGCGCGGAGGCCGCCAGCGCACGCGCGGCGCCGGAGGGGAGGTGTGCTGAGCGGTGGGCACGCGTGGGGCGCGCCACCTGCCGTCGGGGAGCAAAGGATGACGTAAACGTGAACTCTCGTAGGGGGCCACGTGCGAACCCTACCCGTACCCCCCGCAACTTCTGAGGGGTCCAGCGCCGATCCGAGCAGTCAGCGCGGACCCGCGACAGTTTTTTTTCCCCAGGCAGTGCTTGCGCACCTGGGGGTTCTTGCTTGGAGCCAGGCCTGCGCGACTGGCGGGCCAGCTTGTCGTGGCCCGCCGCTGCGTGTCGCCGCCGTGCGCCCTGGCCTGTGCGCCGGTCCAGCCGGCTTGCGGTGGCCCGTCGCCGCGGGCCGTCGCTGCCGCATTTCGGCCGTAGTTTTGAGTGTGCGAGCCTCATAAATTTCCTTTTTGAAAGAGTATCAGGTGTTGCGCCCACCAGGAAACAAAACGAGGGCCTCGACAAATTTGTTTTTGCATTTTTTCATGTATTTATTGGTGGCGTCAAACGCGGTCGTCGCCGATCGCTTGCCCTGATTTAGCGATTTCGGTCGACGGAGGCACGCGAATCGCGCGAGTTTCCTTCTCGTAACTGCTTCTGCCGTGTGCCGCGTTTTCATGGCGCACGTGCCGCGCCTGGCCCTTTCAGATTCAATCGCTCGTACTAGTGCGCGGGCCGCACGCAGGCCGCAGTCCACGCGCGCTTGCGCGGCGCACCGCAGCGCGCTTCGAAACGATGTTGGGCACAATGGCATTTTTAGCGCAACGCCGCGAAATTGTTAGCCACCTCGCGCGGGTGATGCCGAACGCACGCGTGTCCCACCGCATGTGCGCCGCCGGAGCTAATTTTCCGATTTCGGTCGTGAATAGTATCGCGGGCGTGTGTCAGGCGCCTTCGACGCGCCATGTAGGCCCGCGCCGTGCGCGCCCACGCATCAGGTCAGAAACATATCATCTTACTACTTCCGCGTAATGCAGCGCGTGCGTTGCAACGCTGTTAGCCAAGGGCGCTGGTGCGTCGCCGAAAACCACAGCCAGGTTCCCTTGGCAGGAGGACTGGCGGGGGGCGCTCATATTCACCACCCTAAGGGGAGCCGCCAATGGTTCTCTCACGGTCCCGTTCGCAGCCGTTTTGTGGGGATGTCTCAAGCGGTGTGCTTGTTTTCTGTCCCAGCATCCTTCGCTCTCGGAGTAGATTTGGAGGATGTCTCGAGCGAGGCGCTCCACTTCACCCCCCCAGGTGGGCCAGATTTTGAGGATGTCTCGATCGGTGGCCAGACTCGTGGGCGCTGGTTTTCCTGGGGATGCCACAGGAGGCTCCAACAGGTTCCAGGAGGCCCGTGGAGACCACATGAGGTCCCAGGATGAATCAGGATGCCACAGAAAGACCCAAGAGGCCACAGGATGCCCCAAGAGGCTCTAGGAGGCCCCAGGAAGCTCCTGGAGGCTTCAGGAAGCCACAGGAGGCCCCAGGAGGCCAGAGGAAGCGCCAGGAGGTCTCCGGAGGGCAACAGGAGGCCCCGAGAGGCCCCAGGAGCAGGAGGCCTCAGAAGGCAACAGGGGTGGTTCCAATCCCATGTGTTTTACGTATGCTCTCATATATTGGGCCTCACCTGGGGCACGAATCCTTGATGTTATACGTATGTTTCTATAGATTGTCCATATCCTGTGTACTTATGTTCCTATAGGGCCTCTCCTAGGGCACGACTCCTTGGTGTTGTACGCGTGTTCCTATAGATTGTCCTTTTTTTTTCTGCGGCTCCAAGTCGCAATGTTTTATGTACGACTGTTGCTATAGATTGGGCCTCTCCTCGGGCACGAATCCTCCCTAGGAGGTCCCAGGAGGCCCCAGGGGGCCCAAAGAGGCTCCTGGAGGCCCCAAGAAGCCCCAGTAGGTCCCCAGGAGGCCCCAGGAGGCCCCAGGAGGACCCAGGGACATGCGCAGAGACGCGCTCGTACTACTGAGGCTCATTCACACTCCAATTGATTCTCAGTTAGATTCATGACCAGACCGTCACAACTGAAACCCGTTTATACTCGAAAGTTTTTGCGCCTAGATTCTCACGGCGGACAGGTCCATGGGAATAAATGCGCATATGGGGAGCCCCACGCAGTGAATATTTGAATCCCCTTAGGGGGGTGACAATGAGCGCCTCGCTCGAGACATCCTCCAAATCTGCTCCGGAAGCGAATGATGTTGGCACAACTAACAGGCAAACCCGCTTGAGACATCCCCACAAAACGGCCGCGAACGGGACCGTGAGATAACCCCTCGGCGGCTCCTTAGGGACGTGAAAATGAGCGCCTCGCTCTAGACATCCTCCAAATCTGCTCCGAAAGCGAAGGATGTTGAAACAGAAAACAGGCAAGCCGCTGGAGACATCCCCACAGAACGGCCGCGAAGGGGACCGTGAGATAACCATTGGCTGCTCCCCTAAGGGGGGTGAAAATTAGCGCCTCGCTCGAGACATCCTCTAAATCAGCTCCGATAGCGAAATATGCTGGGACAGAAAACAAGCAAACCGCTTGAGGCATCCCCACGAAACGACCGCGAACGGGGCGCGCGTGAGTCTCAGCATGAGTAAGTCTGAGTCGGAGCAGGTCTGAGTATGAGTAGGTATGAGTATGAGTAGGTATTTGTGTGTGAATATGTGTCTGAGTTAGTCTGAGTGTGAGTCAGTCTGTATATGAGTAAGTCGGGGCATGAGGAGGAGAGGGCAGGAGAAGAGTGAGAAGGAGTAGGAGGCGTCCACGTAATAACAAAAAACCATCTTAGGATATGGCGAACATGCAAACTGCACCAAACCCTCGATGGGGATTACCCGTCTGACATGCAACGCCATCCGCGCGGGGCGAACATCACGCGGTGATAACGGACTGGGGCCACCGTCGCACTGTAAAATCCAATCCGTGAGCTCCCATCGGGGCATCCAGGCGCGCGGCGTTCCCCCTGCTGACAGCACGCCCTGGAAGAAACAAAAAAAACGAGCACGTCGCATATTTAGAATGAGGGCGGCCCGGCCATACCAATCGTCGCAACTGCTCCCAAATATGCCGCCCCCCCCCCCCCATCGGCCCTATGTCATTCAAACGTCCTCTGCATTGATGCGAACTGCCATGGCGGCGCACGCTGCCCCCAACGACGGCCGACACCGCTGAAGGTGATCATTTTTCATAGAGACAATCACGATGCGACGGCCCATGCGGCCCAAAATGATTCACACCAACCCGAGGACAATCCAAGAGCTCCCAAAAAATACCGCGCGCTGTCAGCGAGGATGCTTTTCGGGCGCCATCAAACTGATCAGACACAAGAAAATGAAAAGGAACGTCACGCTCTCGCCCTTCTGGGTATTAGAGCGCTCGGCACCACCCGAAGAACCGCCCAAATCGCAGCAAAACGGCCGGAAAGGGCCAGAGGAAATTGAATGCGGCATGACCCCTCCTCTTTGTTATCTTCTACCCCCCGTCACCCCACTTCGCCATCATATTAATCCCCTGCCTCCTCACGTTGCCCCCCTTTTCTCCTGTTATCCTCCTCCTCCTTCTCATCCTCCTTCGCCTTCGTCGTCCTGGTGTTCTCCCACTCCCTCGCCCCCCTCAACCGCCCTCGTTATCCCTCCCCTCCCTTTCCCCGTGTCATCCACGCCTTCCGCCTCATCCTCCTCCTCCTCGCCGCATTGCCCCTTCCCCCCCTCATTCGCGCGCACTTCCCATTCCACGCTCGAGACATCCTCCAAATCTGTTCCGAAAGCGAAGGCTGTTGGAACAGATAACAGGGACACCGCTTGAGACATCCCAACAACACGGCCCCGAACGGGACCGTGAGATAAGCCCTGGCGGTTCCCCCTATGGGGGGTGAGAATGAGCGCCTCGCTTGAGACATCCTCCAAATCTGCTCCGACAGCGAAGGATGTTGGGACAGGAAACAGGCAAACCGCTTGAGACATCTCCACAAAACGGCCGCGAATGGGACAGTGAAATAACACGTGGTGGTTTCCGTCAGGGGGGGCTGAAACCAGCGTCCCGCCTGAGACATCCTCACAGTCTGCTCTGGTAGCCAAGGATGTTGGGACAGAAGACAGGCAAACCGCTTGAGGCACCCCCGCAAAACGGCCACGAACGGGGCGTGCGTGAGTCTCACCATGAATAAGTCTGGGTGGCGATGAAGATTATGCATTCACGCAGGAGGATATCGATGGGCTCGGACAAGACCCTAAATTCTTGGATACATTTATGCTTTCGCCAGGCCCGCCGACGTGCCAGGATCCATGCTGGATCAAGGTCCACGTGGCTGCGCCGCCTCATTTGGGCGTACCCCTCACACGTTTCGTTGTCTCAAATGGAGGTCCACCGAAGGCCCCAGTGGCATGGCCCCATGGCGGTACCGCCCATGCGGGCGCACCCCTCGCACGGCTCGTGGCCCCGCATGGGGCTCACTCGAAGGCCCCAGTGGCAGGGTCTACATGGCGGCTGCGCCCCATTGTGGCGCACCCTTCACTCGGTTCGTGGCCCCGCGTGGAGTACCGCTGGAAGCCCCATTGGCGTGGTCGACATGGCGGCGCCGCCTCATCTTGGCGCGCTCCCCGCGCAATCGTGGCCCCGTATGGTACCCGCAGCAGCATGTGGTTGGTTATTTCGCCAGGCCTATTTTTGTCCTGGTCCTGACAGGCCTTTGCGGGGCCCCTTGGGGCGACCGCGGGGGCTCCTTGAGTTTCTTGACGTGCGCGGCCGCCCGATTTCAGGCGCAAGGGAGTTGAGTTGCGTCGCCTGTTTCCTGCGTCGCGCGCGGGGCGGACTTCGTGAGCACTGTGCCCGCAGAGCATCCTGCGTACGCCTGTGCTGCTGGCATCGAGGTTACAGATTGGAGGCCAAAGGTGCCGCGATCACTTCGGCGCCCCCTGTGAGTGGTCCGTCGGGACACGTACTCCACGAGCAAATGTCTTTTCCCGTTCGTCATCATCTGCTCTTGCCGCCCCCCTCGCCCCCT